GTAGCTGCTACTGCTGCTACTACTACTACTGCAACTACTACTACTACTACTACTACTACTACACTACCACTACTACTACTACTACTACTACTACTACTACTACTACTACTACTACTGCTACTACTACTACTACTACTACTACTGCCCGTTCGATAACTAAAAGCGCACTTACATTGCAAATATTAATTTAAGCGCGAGCGTTCTAGCCTTGGTTTCTATCAACCAATAATCTACTGTTGCCGCTTTATACAATAATGATATGAGGTCTTTGGTTACAAAAACGTCATTAAGAATGTTACAACAAGAAGAATTATGTTAATAACAACAACAAAAACATTAGCAACAATGACGAAATCAACAACAGCTTTATAACAATACTTACATTTTTTTAAAACAACAACAACAACAACATCAACAACGACACATTAACAACAATGTTTAGCAACCATCACATCAATTGCAGCAACAGTTTTGCCAGTAGTTAAAAACATTGACATCAAAATCTATAGTGGTAACATTAACATTGGCAACAACATCAACATCAACATCAACAACATCATCATCAACAACAACATCACCATCAACAACAACATCATCATCAACAACAACATCATCCACATCAACAACAACATCTTCATCATCAGCCCTTCTTATAAATCCGCCAACAGAAAATTTAAGCCTAGCAGACCATATATTAATACACTGGTGATAATGATGTTGTTGTTGTTGTTCATGATGATGACGAATAGACACCACATTATGACTAAGTATGATGATGTGTTTGTGTGTGATTTTAAAACACACCTAGAAAGACACACAACAAACGCACACACACGCAAACACACAGAAAGACACACAACACACGCACACAGACGCAGAAAAACACACAACACACACACACACACACACGCACACACACAAGCGTGCATGTCTGCATCTAATTATGCGTACGTACGCTCCATTGTTTTATAAACATTTCAATGTAGGTACAAGGAAGAGGTGATCATCATCTGTGACGTCATCATCAGCAGCTTCACTTCACTATTACCATCATCGCCAGTAGCAGCAGCTGTACTAGCAGCTGTAGCAGCAGCAGCAGTAGCAGCAGCAGCAATAGCAACATCTTCTTTCTCAGCAACGTCATCATCAATTTCATTTTCATCCTTTATGATTACGTCATCATAATCATCACCATCATCATCAACATCTTCATATAATTGATGCCAACATTATCATCAGTAGCAGGATTGAGGATATCTTCATCATAACCATCATCATTATTACAGAGATCATTATCATCATCATCATCACATCATCATCATCATCATTATTACAGAGATCATCCTCATCATCTTCTTCATCGTCGTCGTCTTTATCATTCCGATACAATGAGCAAAATCCTATACAGCGAAAAAGTAATTTATCATCATCATCATCAACAACAACATCATCATCAGCAACAGCAAGAAGGAAAAAATTATCAACAACCACATCATCATCATCATCAGCATTGTCAGAAGATCATCATCAGTACGAACATCATCGTCATCATCTCCGCTGTTTTTTTACTTTCGTCGTTCAATTTCATAAGTGAGTTTTTAGTTCTCATATCATATCGTAATTATTAAAATACGTGGCGAGATGTGGTAATGATTAAGACGTGTGTGTGTGTGTGTGTGTGTGTGTGTGTGTATGTATGTGTGTGTGTGCGTGTGTGTGTGCGTACCCCTAGAGATAGAATGAAATGGAAGATGGATACTGTACACTTAATTGGATCGATTGATGAATGAATGAATGACTGGATAGATTGATGTATGGATGGATAAACGAATGAATATGTGGATGGATCAATGCATAAATGGATAGATGAACGAACAAACAAACGAACGAACAAACGAGCGAATAAACTTATCTTAACAAGCAGTTTAAAAAATGATTCAATAACTGCATATCAATGAATCAAGCATTCCATATAGCACTACATCAAAAGATACGAAGAAATACAAAAATGTTTTTCTTCTTCTCCTTCTTTTTCTTCTTCTTCTTCTTCTTCTTCTTCTTATTATTATTATTATTATTATTATTATTATTATTATTTTTACATATTTTTTAACCGATCGATTGATCTGTATCAGACAGACTCATGAGCAACCATATACTGATAGATGGTTGGTTGGGTCACGTAAAAATACATACATACATACATACATACAAACAAATAAATAAAAAACAAACAAACAAACATACATACATACATACAAACAAACATACATACATACACACATGCCACACACACACACACATACGCACACAAACCCACATGTACATATACAACATACAAACCTACATACAAAACATACAGACCTTCATGCAAAACATACAAACCTGCATACAAAACAAAGCAAACAAAACATACATACAAAACATACAAACGCGCAAACATACAAAACTCCTTCCCGTGCTAACCTATCCACAAACACATACATTCCGACTCTTCATTGATCTACGGTTGCCATGGTGACTACGCGCATGCCTAGACCAAACATAATGATGTTCATACTGTCGGTAGGTCGTTAAAGGGGGGGGTGCCAGTAGGGCCCTATGGATCAGGGAGGTACCAGTTGGACCCCATGGAGAGAGGGAGGGTGTCTGTTGTTGGTTTTTCCGACGTTCGTTGTTGGAATTTCGTTATTTTGCTGTTGTTTTGGTTGTTAATAGTGTTGTTTGGTCGTTGTTGTCGTTGTTGTTATCCCGGTTGCACTGAGGCAAATTGCTCTATCTTCATTGTAAATGTCCTATATTTTTACCAAGTTGTTGTCGTACTTTTGCAGTTGTTGTTGTTATCCTAG